AGACAATGCATGAAAAAAAAAAATCTTAAAAACCAAGTTTCATGGCTGCTTGCGTTCTCTAAAGTCGATCTTCGCAACCTCTAATTATGTAGTATATTATTAATCTAGTATATCTGATTAAGTGGTTTTATTTATTTATTTTTTATTAATATTATATCTAATAAATATTTATTATATATATAAAAAAAATAAAAAACGGGTTCATGGGTCTGATCTGGGTCGGGTCTTGACTTTTTGGACCCATACCAGACCCGACCCATTAAACTTAGACCCAGACCCGACGCAGACCCATCGGGTCTAAAATTTAAGGACCTAGTCTAGGACCCGTTGCCATCCCTATTCACATTTGACGTTTCTAACCACCTTTTTCCATTTTCCCCCCTTTAAGAGGATACAACTTTATACTCACCTTATTTCTGGATTTTTTTTTGTTTTTAAAAACTCAGCTTTTTAAGTTAAACTTGATTTTTTTGTTTAAAAAAGGTTTTTTTTTTGAAAAAAAAAAATTAAACTTGATTTTTTTAAAGTCTGTTTTACAAATAAATTTAAGCTTTTTTTTAACCAATATTAATTTTTTTTTATTTAGAATCAGTTTCACATAATTAATACCAAGAGAGCAGTGAAATATATATAAAAATAAATAATAAAAATAATTTCGTCTCATTTACGAAAGGCGTGCCCCTGCGCCTTGTGCCTAGGCTCCACGCAGTGTGCCTCGCGCCTTTTAAAACAAAGGTGCCGTTAAATAGATAAGCTCGGATGCCATCCATCTGAGCTACGGTCATGTACACTAATAGGATCTTATTCAATGCTTTGTTTTTCCATCACCTCCCAAAAAATTGACTGTGGAGTGTCACAGGATGCCTCTCTAACCAAGGCTCCTCTCTAACCAAGGCACTTGACTCAGGTAGAATTTATAAAGTGTCCCGACCTTAATTTTGACCGCTTGTAGGTATTTGATCATGAATCAGCCCCTGCCGCCTTACACATACGAATGTTGGCTACCAGGACTTCATATTCAGTTTCATTGTTTGGAGCTTGAAACTTGAACCGTAGTGCATACTCATATTTGTTCCTTTTCAGAAGGAGACTGACATATAATTCCTATACTATAGCCATTCATGGTAGAGCTCCCGTCTACATAAACCTTCAAAACCTCATTTTGGTCGTATCATTTCAATGATGAAGTCGGCAGACGCCTGACCCTTAACCACCTTCCTTGGTTTGTAGGAAATTTCAAGACCTTGAATTTCAATAGCCCATTTGATCATGCGGTCGGATGACTCTAAGGTGGTTATGATGTGCCAAGAAGTAGGGTATTTACTTCTTAATCGCCTTAAAGAGCGCAAGACCAAACTTTTTAACCCTAGAGTACCGAACCTCTGCATTTTGAAAAATATGGTCACAAAGTAAACAAGAAGCTGATTGTCGTCTCTCTCAATAAGGAGGAGGGCATGGGGGGAGGTTAAATACACTTACAATGTCAACTTTGGCAAGTTGCTTACAATCCTCGGTAAGGAGTGCAAATGTTGCTTCAATTTCTCGAATGCCGTCAAAGCCTCATTCCCCTTATTCAAATATAACTTTCTTTCTAATAGCTTGGGAAAAATGGAGGCATTTGTCATTCAATCGACTAAGGAATCTCCCTAGTGCCGCTGGTCAACGCGTTAACTTTTGTACTTCTTTGACGGTCTGAGGGGACATCATGTCAATGACCGCCTGTACCTTCTCAAGATTTGCCTCTATCCCCCTTTGATCAATCAAGAAGCCGAGAAACTTCCTATTTTCAACACCAAAGATACACTTTTTAGGATTAAGCATGACCTTGTGCTGCTTGATTGTGGTGAATGTTTCTCAGAGATTAGCAAGGTGATCTGCCTATAGTCTGCCCCCAATTTAGCAAAAGCAACCGTCCCCACCTTAACATTCGATTTAGACGTGTATTGTCCAAAACAATGTCAATGTGATCACCCGCCGTATGGGGATGGAGTTTATCTAGTAATTGTTGTTGCTTTTCTTTTTTGACAGGCACCATCAATCGGCCTTGCTCTTCTTGCCGCCTGCTAGAGGGACACACTGAGCTCCTTCTCATCATAAACATCTTTTGCAACCCTGCGATCTCCTAGAGAGAACCGACCTTGCCATCTTCTTTTGCCGTGGGAATTATGACGGCTTTAGAAACATTGAATGTTAGATGGCCAAGAATTATGTTGTAAGCCATCATCTACTCAACAACCAAGAACCAGCTGACCATAGTTCAACCCTTCCCCTCGTCTCCTAGTCTTATTTATTGGCAAGTCAATTCTGCCACTGGATAAGTGACTCCACCCCTAAAACCATCTAGGGGGTGAGAAACCGTGTGCATGTTGCTCTAGTCGTATATTAGCTTTGCCAGCATTCCCGACTAATAATATCAAAAGAACTACCTGTATCTACCAAAATCCGGCCGACTCTAAGGTTAGCAACCTTGCATTCAATGACCATAGGGTCATCATGCGGCTGGCGGACTTTGCCCCGGTCTTTTTCAGTGATGACCTCATCCGGAAAAGATTCATCATTCGGCAATTCATCCTCAACCGAATACACAAGTTTCCTTGTATGGTCCTTGGTCCCGCGATTAGTCGGACCTCCTAAGGCATAGCCACCTGCAATCACACAAATGAACCCGGAGTCGATGTCTGAGCCATTGTCATCTTTCTTTGGTGGATGCTTAAGGTTCGTCTTTAGAGTCACTTTGGACTTAGAGACGTATAACTTTAGCAACCCTTTTTCACCCAATTCATCCAACAATCGCTTCAGACTATAGCAGTCGTTGGTGTCATGGCTTACTTCCTAATGGAAGTGGCAGTATTTGTTTTTGTCTCGGTACTTTGTCGGACCCTTCATTGCCGGGGGCATATCAAAGTGCACCTAGTTTTTGATCTCCATAAGGATGGAGTAACAGTCCTTGTAAACTCTTACTTGGGAACATACGATTTAAACTATTTCTTCTTCTTCTTTGACGGTTGACTAAAGTCATCAACCGCCCAAACTTCTCTTTTTATTCTTTTCATTCTTGTAAGTCGGTTGGTCATGCCGACTCCCTTTTGATTTTTCGGATCGCTTTTGATCCGTTTACTTGCTTGAGGAGCAAAACTCTGATGCCTGTATAGGCCTCAGCCTCCCTCTAGGCTTCTGGAAGAGTGAATATCCTCTTCCGAACGAGGTCGAAGTTAAAGGCCGAGCCATCCTTCAGACTATTAAAGAAGTGTATGTAAGCAGCTTCGTCCGATAGTCCTTAAACCGCTTGACATATGATTTTAGCCCCTCAGAACAACCACCACCAACTCTATGCTTGTCTTCCTTAGTATGTTCATGGGGAACTTTGAGGCGAATAAGAATGCAAGCATGCTGAAATTAATTATGCATTCGGCTGGCAAATTGCCGAATCACTTTTGGGCAATGCCCTTTAGTGTTGCCGGGAAAGTTTCTGCACCATGCAGCATCATCCTAAATACATGAGGTTGGTATATGCCATTAGGTTATCTTCCGGGATTGGTGATGCCGTCATAGGTATCAACCAATACATTCTTAACCTTTGCCGGCTGTGCCGCCTCGGTTATCTTCTTGGAGAACGCAGAAGGTTATTCTCTAAGTTTTAGGAGGTGTCAGTTCAATGGCTGGACTTGGTCCATAGAAGCCAGGTTGTTTAAATGCTTGACCGAATGAGCCGTATAGTAGTTGGGGTTGATGTTGTATGTTATATGGCGCCGATCGTATGACATGTGGGCTAGTGTGGACGGATTGACCGCTTGATATGTAGTTTTGCCCAGATTGGGAGTACCTTAGTGAGGTACTCCTCAATGTGCTGGCATGGTCGGGGTAGATGCTGTGTGTTGCTTTTTGTGCTTAATGAATTACTGATCGTCAATGTGTGCTTTCTTGTTGCCATCCGGCTCTTCATGCTGGTTGGGCTTTCTTCTAGGCGTCTTTGGAAGACGAACCTTTGTCCAGCCGGGTTGCCCCCTCCTACCGTTTGGGATGAGGAGTAGGTGCCCTATCCTTGACTGTCATTGAGACGGCTACTTAGCTGATTGGCCCTTGCTAGGCTAGCCGTCTAAATCTTAATCATGTTTTTCATCTCTCCTTTGAAGTTTGTCATAAACTCCATGAATTCCGAACGTGTGATGTGGAGTCGACTTAGTGCTGCCCGTGCCATTAGCATTCCTCTCCTTTTTATCCTTGAAGCGGATGTGTTTTACTATGAGTGAGCCGTCTGTATGGACTTCGGCTTCCGGCTCTTACTTTGTGTCTTGGTCCGTATGGACCTTTGCCTCATTCGACAGTTCCTCATTGATCGAATGTGGTACAGGTTCGTCAGATGCCATCCTAGAGGTACCCTCCCCATAAACGACGCCAAATGTTTTGGGGTTTTTTGTTGTATCCTGCGGGAGAGTTACAACTCCAAGATTGGCTTGCCGAATGCGCTCTACCTGAAACAAACGGAAGGAGTTCTATCTTCGACGGTCAAGTAAGTGTTCGAATAAGGAAAGTAGGCGGAAAATCAAGGTAAATTTTCGCACCCCAAGAGAAGAGCAGTAAATGCTTGTGTAGTAATTGATGAATAGTAGAAATCTGATTGTGATTGTGCTCCCACTATAATAAATGTCCTATTTATAGGGGTGTGGGAGTACGTCCTTTGAAGGCCGCCATTTCCCCAATGATGGGGTGCCACGTGTCTTATCGTGGTTGGCTCATTTTGAGTGCTGCCTAGGGTGACACGTATCACTCTCGGTCCACATGTCTAGGGTAATTTTACCCTAAACACATAATATTCACATGCTTAGTTTTGGTCTAAAGTTTTGACAATTTATAGCTATGATCTTTTTCTTTATAGTTAAATTCACATGTATAGCTTGCAATTCTCAGTGTCTCCACCCCACCCCCTTCCCCCCTCCTCTTTTCATCAAGTATGATTTCCCTAATTTTGGTTGGCTATGTTTTCTTTGTTGATTTTGTAGACGTCATGCTTCAGGAGGTAGGCATGATAGGGTTGACCAAGGAAAGCAAAGCTCACAAGAATCTATTGCTACTGTATCGGCCAAAGTTAATGCGGACTTTGTTTCATCATTGCAGGTAGTGTAAACTTTGTATTTTCTTTCAGTATGAAGTATGAGGCTATATTACATACGTAATTTGCTAGTTGAGTAATCTCTTGCTGCTCAATTTAAGCTGGTTACTGAACTAACTCTTGTACAGAGTGTTGGAATGAATCCTAGTAATCATGTTAGAGGATGCAGTTCCAAGGATTTACAATGATTAGAAAAATAAAAGTCAGACTTCGAAAATAGAAATAACAAAACTTTAACGTGGTAAGCCTATTCTCTTGGTCACCATTCACAAATGATAATAGACTAAAGAGTATACAACAACAATACCAATAATAAAGCCTGAATCCGAAAAAGATGAGGTTGGCTACATGAACGAAGATATTATCTGTTGTGGTCCACAAATATTTTTCCTCCATTCACTCCTATCTAGTGCTATATTGATGCGAGAGCAAGTATAGTTTGATCATCATTATTTTTATTTGATTTATTTCATTAGGAATCTAAATTTATCTTGATATTTTTAAGAATTTATCCATCTTTTTAGGGTTTATGTTAGTTGAATAAAGGGATCATTGTATTATTTTAGAAGTAGAGATTGATTTTATGCGAATATGAGTTGAGCTTTTGTGCTTAAACCTAAGCGAGAGGATTATTGTAAAGAGTTCGAACAGGTTGTTAACCTGGAATTCAATGTTGTTGCCATTACAGTCACCCTTAGAAGTTGTCTTCTAAGTTTTATCTTAAGGTCGGCAAGATCTGTATCATATATGCTCATGTAAATCCATTTTCATCACTTAGTTTTCATTGCTGGTGCATCTATTGCTCGCTATCACACATCCCAAACAAATCTTGCAAAATCTATCTTATTATATCCTCAAATGCTGCAACTTTTATTGACAAGGAATTTGATGCATTTAGACTAAGATTTTTAATAATCTTTTCTCAATTTTCAGAATGCAAGGGTTATAAATCTAATTTAGTGCTTCACATATACTAATTTTAACTGAGGAAAGGCTGAGTTTTTTTTTTTTTTTTAATAATTATTGTTTTATTTTTTAATTCTTGTATTTTTTCTTTCACAGCCTAAACTAAACATAAACAACCAATCATTAATTGGGTTTAGACTTGCCAAGGATTTTTTTATAGAGTTCACTCCATCAAACTTGAGAGAAATTCTGGAAAACAATCCAACTTCATTTCAGCAACAACAATCTCTTTATAACGAACATGAGTGAATTAATCCTAATCTAATTAGGAAACAAAACTGTGTACCAAATACACATTTTCGGTTCTTTCTAACACCTTTAGGATTCCAAACAAATCAATTCTATACACTTGTAAGTAAACTGGGTTACAATCCTTAAAAGGAATTTGAAGAAAGTTCTTGCTGATAATCAACCTTTAAAAATCTTCTTATTAAATTCCATCCCACAAAGTGTTCCCTCTCATCCATCTCAAGATATTCATCTTTGTTGCAATCATCTTTTTAATATGATCTTTCTAATTTCCCTGATTCTGACCCATATAAGATGGTGTAATAGTTGTTTTATGAAATTTCCCTTTAACATGAGCTACCATACAATAGCTGAGCTACTCAAATTTAATTTTGTGATTACATTTTGGTTTGTATCTTCTATATCTTTGCAAAATTGAGCCCAATTAAAGTATCAAACAACTAATATCTAAATCTCGTGCTAGTTTTTTATGGTGCCATCCCTTTTTACGACCTCATCTTTGAATTTCTATAAAATGTCTTACATAAACTCTCTTTCATTAGGTTGTTGTGGAGGATGAAATTTTGTTTCTTATGCACATCACTCACCTAAATCCTAAATCATCCCTTTCCTTGAAATATACTCATTGCAAAGATATATAATTATTACAAAGAAAGTTGTTAACAACTACTTATTAAGCAATCACTTTTGCGAACAACTACATTTTACCTCAAAGTTTTTGAACAATACCTTTTACGTCAGTTTGTAAACACCATCCTTTTTATTGTATTTTTGTTTTACTATCACTACCATTTAATGGAGTTTATCAAAATTTCTGTTTGTGGAACCTATATCCAAAGCATTCAAACCTAATTAACCTTATTTACATCCATTAAATCCCATTTACACACCTTACAACTAAATCTTGTTAATTCAAACGCCAAATTAATGCTATATTTTGTCAATTTACCCCAAATTTAAATTTTATTGTTTACCTCTAAAACTTTTATATAGATTCGAAACTCTGAAACTTTGCTAGAGGGTTTTCCGTTGCCAATCCTAAGCCTTAATAAAGGAGGAGGGTTACGATAGGCCAGTGACTGTGGTATAAATCTTTGTCACATCACATGATGTGCATGACTACGGAAAAATCACTTTTGTTTCATGTAACCAACCCCACTTTTGGGATTAGGCTTTGATTGATTAATTAATTGATATATAAATATATGATTTTCAGTTATAATTTAAGGTGTTTGAAACATTCTAACTATGTTACATGGACTCGAGCATATAACACGACACGACCTTGTCACGGGTACGAAATCCGAGTTAAACCAGACCAATTACCCTTGGACACGGCTAATTCTAATATTTAATTATTGAAATCCTAGATGTACAAATTTATACTATTATATTAAAAGGCGTTCCTAAGAACGTTTATGTGCCACATAGACTACATTTCATTATGCCACATCACCTACTCGACCTCTTATTCTGCCACATCACCACTCATTCAACCTTAATCATTATGCCACATCGCCCTATCAACCAACATTATTTCATTTAAAAACACAAGGATAAGGAGATTTGAACACCTAACCTCTTATATGAAGTTGGTTATTTAACCATATAAGCCAATTTTCAACCATGTTATGAACATGAAAAAAAATGTATATAATTGCAAATCACAAGGTTTACTTTAAATAAAAAGGCAGCATAACTATTAAATACATATAATCACAAGATTTAATTAGAGTAGCAACCTGGTGCAACTCCTGGGCCATACACTTGTTAGCATATTAATTAAAGAGAAACATACGTAATATATTAGGGATTTTGTAAGCCCTTGCAAAACGATCCCCATGGAGGTGTTTAATTCACATCAAGTGGTCAGAAAGTGGCTAGAGATAATGCATATGGCCAAAAAAAATTAATCAGGAGAAATAATCTGATTTAAGTAGGTGGATTTGGAGAGAGAGAAAGAATGGGTTGTAAAAGTAAATAGTTGAGTAAATTAAAATGTTTTTGTCTTTCTATGAGTGTTATCATATGGGTCAACAATTTTCATTACCCTGCCTCTTAATACTGTTACAAATTTACTGAAACTACTTTTCTTCTTTTTTAAAATAAAAATACTAATTATTTTTCTATAAAAGACCAATTATATATTTTTAGGTTTTCTTTAGCAAAATAATTCTAAAAAAGCTGGAAAATATTATTTCATACTAAATATTTGCCTCCCCGTACTCGTGTTCAAATCTCAGACAGAGTCCCCGTGTCATAAAAATTTGAGATCAACGTACTAGACTCAAATCCGTACCAGTCTTTGAACCTTCAGTTCGAGTCCATGTAACATAGCATTCTAATGAAAAATGTGAGTTATTTTAGTTTCAATTTGGCTAATTTACTCCTAGTTTAGATGGGTTTTCAATATGAGGATATATTTGTAAACTCTATGCTAGATTTATTTAATTCGAACAATCAATAGATGAATTGTGGTTTTAGTTTGTTCTTTTACATCTTGTTTTTGCTCTTGCTCTTTCGATTTAAATCAGGACTATTCATTTGGGTTAATGGAAATTATGACGGAATCTGTCAAATGGTAGTGGTACCAAAACAAAAGTTTAATAAAAGGTAGTTATCCACAAACTTTGAAGTAAAAAGGTAGTTGTTCGCAAATGTGATATCTTATAAGGTAATTGATAAAATTTCCATTATCATTTATATAATCATGAAAACTTTACTTAACAAAACTCCAAGCTCTATAACATTTTCCTTATAATTGTCCTAATGTAGACTAATAGCATGTAAAACAAGTAAATATTCCCATTTTAATAACAAGAATGTTTGTATTTTCTTAATAGGTTCCTCAAATCGCTTAATTGTGATTTATATAGAATGCCTTTGTTAGAAGAGTTTTACAGGGAAATATCTAGGGCCTAGGATATGATGCATCATAAAAGCTTCAGGTCTTCAAAATGCTATAATTTGTTGTAGATTATAGTTTACCATTAGTGTACCATATGTATGTAAGTCATGTATCTTTTGATGTTTAGGCTTATGGCCTTATATTTTCGTTTAAATGATTTCATCATCTTTTGCTGACCATTTCTTGAAATAAACAAAGTAAGAAATAGATTGTACGTTTTAATAATGTTGTTTGGTATGTTGGGCCCTGTCTTTTAGCATGTCGGAGAAGTGTGTTGCTATTGTGATTTCCCTCCTTCATGTGAGGCCTTATTGCTGAATGGCATTTTACCTAGAGAATTAAGCCTAAGAAGGCGGTTGGACTTGATGGTTTATCGATAGAGGTATGGAGGTGTTTGGGTAAGAGGTATTGATTGGTTAACAAACCTTTTCAACAAGATATGGAGGGCTACAAGGATCCCTCAAGATTGGAGGAAGAGCACCTTGGTCCCGGTCTGTAAAAACAAAGGAGATGCTCAAGATTGTTTTAACTATCGAGGGATCAAGCTTATGAGCCACACTATGAAGTTGTAGGAAAGAGTGATTGAACATAGGTTGAGGGCATGCACAAGCATTTCGAATAACCAATTTAGTTTTATGCCCGGGAGATCTACTATGGAAGCAATCCATTTGATAAGACAAATGATGGAGTTTTATAGGGTAAAGAAGAAGGATCTTCATATAGTCTTTATTGATTTAGAGAAGGCATATAACAGGGTGCCAAGGGAGGCACTTTGGAGGGCAATGTTGAAAAAAGGTATCCTAGATGTGTCAACAAATGTGAGGACATGTGGAGGGTTGACAAAAGATTTCCCTATTACAATCGGATTGCATCAAGGATCTGCATTAAGCCCTTTTCTTTTTGCAACGTTCTGTATGAAGTAACTAGACCAATTCAAGATGAGGTTCCATGGTGTATGTTGTTCGCAGATGATATTGTTTTGGTGGATGAAATTAAGGATGGGGTTAATGCCAAGTTGGAGCAATGGAGGCAAAAGTTGAAATCTAGAGGGTTTAAGCTAAGTTGGAGTAAGACTGAATATTTGGTATGTCACTTTGGTACTCAGAGGGGGACAAGCAATGAAGTGGTGACTTTGGATGGAAATGATTTGACCATGAGCGAATGTTTTAAGTATCTTGGGTCGATCATCCAGAAGAATGGTGACATTGTTCAAGATGTGGCCCATAGGATTAAGACGGGGTGGCTTAAATGGAGAGCGGCCACAGGAGTGTTATGTGACCGAAGCATTCCCTTACAGTTGAAGGGAAAATTCTACAGGACTTCCATAAGATCAGTGTTGTTCTATGGTACAAAATGTTGGGCTTCTAAGAAGGAGCACATTAAAAAGATGGAGGTTACGGAAATGCGCATGTTAAGGTGGATGTGTGAGAACACTCTAAGAGATAGAATCAGAAATGAGGTTATTCGCAAGAAAATAGGTGTGGCAGGCATTGCAGATAAACTAAGGGAAAATCGTTTGCGTTGGTTTGGGTATGTAAGACGGAGACCCGAGGGTGCACCGGTTCGAAGAGTGGGAGAGTGGGACCATGGAGGGGTTAAACGAGGTAGAGGGAGACCGAAAATGACTTGGTTAGAAGGAGTTAGGAAGGATATGAAGTTTATGGATTTGCATGAGGATGAAGCATTGGATCGTAAGGGATGGAGGAGGAAGATTTATGTCGATAACTACACAAAATAATCAAATTTGGTTCATGTTAGCCGACCCCACTTATGGGATTAAGGCTTTGATTGATTGATACACGTCTCTAGAACAACCTTTTATCCTTCACATTTTGATTCAAATTTTGCTGCCTCCAGTTCTGCAAGTCCCATATATTATTAATTTGCAAATCATGTGTATATATTCATGGATAGGCAATTTTGTCTATCCTCTTATGTATGTCATTTTGTTCTTGTGTTTCTCTTTAGAAAGTTCCTCCAATTTGTTGCTTGACTTGCTCATATGCCCTCTTGCTCATTATACCATGATTGAATTGCAGAAAAAGAAGAGTCAATCCCAATTAAAGCCTCAAAATGAGTTATGGCCTGTTCAAGTGGATTTTTCATCTGGTTCTCCAGGTAATTCAGAAGCTGTCAAAGAAGTGAGTAAAGAAATCTTTGATCGCCTTCACCAGAGAGGTGTATATTCAGGTCCATTAGCTCGTGTGGATCGATGGTCAAATGGTGAGGGGAAAATGAATAATCCTCCATCATTTTCAAGGCTACCCAATGTAACAACATCATCTAGTTTGGTGCCGAGTAGGACTTCAGTTATTGATGATAATCGCCGAAGATTTGGCCTTTTGAAAAATAAAAAGGCAACTGATGCAGCAGAAAGATTTTCAGGGCCTATTAATGATTTCGAGGGAGTAAGAAATGATGATTGGTTGCCCTACTCTGGAAGTATGATGGGTTCTCATCAGCTTGAAGAAAATACACATCCAAGGAGAGCGGCTTTGGTAAGTTTTTTATCCGTTTCGTGCGTGACATTAGTCAAATATCTAGTTTGAGTGTAAACTGCATGCATCGTTTGATTAAAGTCATCATATTGAAACTTCCTTCCCTTTAATATCTATATTAACATATATGTTCTGCTGGCTGTCTTCCACTTAAAAGCTCCAAATTTTTCTGGGAAGTGCACTAGAAATATTTTAACTGTCAACTTATGCGTTATCTCTTCTGTTTCTGTCTATCCAGCAAAGTCTTGGACCTGACAGTGACAGAATTCACTTATCTGGCCCACTACTCCATCCTTCAAAAGATCTAGATCAGATGCTTAAAGAGCATGATCGTCGATTTCAAGAGGCAGCTCGTCGTGCTCGTCATGATAAGTTAAAGCACAACAAAGTGCTGGCTAGGTGATTCGAACAGATGCTTAAAGAGCATGATTAGTGATTTCAAGAGGCAGCTCGCCATGATAAGTTTAAGCGCAACAAATTGCTGACTAGATAATCCGATTAATTAATACTGATACAGGTCAAGTTTCATTCAACCTTCCATGTAAATACACATATCATCAACTTGTTGGGTGGTGGTGATGAAATTTTATATCAAGCAATACATATGTATATGTAAATTTGGTTATATAAGGCTCATTAGCTAAGTTATGTTCGTTTAATTTCATGAGCTATTATTAGCAAAGCTACTTTTTTTTTTTTATAACCTCACCCAACCTCTTTTTTCATCCTTTGGAGTGTTTTGTTGTACCCTACCGTTATGCTATATATCCAAAAAGTTGGGAGTTAATACGTGAGAAAAGAAACTTTAACTTGATTGAATTAGAGTAGCTTATGTTTTATCTTTCGAGAACAAGAGTGAGTACTTTTGTCAAACAAATTTTTGCGTGAGCTAATCTATACTGCTTGAGACAACAGAATAGGGTAGAATAGAGAAGAGATAAAGAGAGTTAGAAAGAGAGAGAGAGAAGTTTTGTTTTTTTCTTGAATGGTTCATACAAGAGAGCATTACCACATATTTATAAAGCTAATTCTAGTATACTCTGTTTCGTAATAATTGCAATAGTAAGTTGACACAAAGTTTTAAGAAATTATAGGGTGGGGATCAAAAGGGGAATTTTTTAATATTAAGTATAGTTAGTAGGGATATATTTAAGGAAAAATACGCTTTAATAATCCCAACTACAGACAATCTACTTTTAATAATTTCAACTTAAGTTTATTATCTAGTCATCCCAACTATGGGGTTGGTTTGCCTTAAATAGTCCCAACCGGTCAATGACTTGTTATAACAAGTGACTATGACACGTGTCAACACGTGAATGGTCGAAAATTGAAAATTAAAAAAAATTAAAAATTAAAAAAACCCTAAAATTCCAGCCACCATCTCCCCTCCCCTAGCCACGTCAGAACCCTAACCCCACCCCCTAACCTCGCTGGAAAATGGTCGGCCAACCCCGCTTAACCACTGAAAATGGTCGGCTGGGCTCTTCCACCCATTCCCGACCTACCTAGACTGAAGAAGCGTCAAAACCAACAACCCAAAACCACCACCGAAAATGGTCACAATTCCTTCCGAGACTCGTCCCATCTGAACGGCTCTCACTGAATATCTCGAGCTCATGTCATGCGATTGATTCGCTGACGACATGGGCGACGGCTGTCAGAAGAAGCGCCGGCGATGGGATTTTTGGCGGTGATGTTTCGAGTGGTTAAGCAGGTTTTCAAGGTGGTTTTAGGGGTGGGGATGTACAGGGTAGGTGGTTTCGGGGGTCGGGGATGGGTGTTAGAGGTTGGTCGGCCATTTTCGGTTGTTAAGGGGGGTTGGCCAGCCGTTTCCCGGCGAGGTTAAGGGGTGGGGTTTGGGTTCCGGCGAGGATAAGGGAGGAGAGAGGGTGGCTGGGATTTTAGTTTTTTTTATTTATTTTTTACTTATTTTTATTTTTATGTTTTATATGTTTTTTTTATAATTTTTAATTTTGGATCATTCACGTGTTGACATGTGGCGTTTAATTAAAAAAAAATACTTTCAGCAGGTCACCGGTCATTGGGACCATTGGAGGCAAACATACTTATATATAATTGTTAGTAGGAGAGAGAAACAATAAAAAAGTAATGTAAGTAGGGTTGGTAGGAGAGAAAAATTATACAAAAGTTGAGGGTCCTCATCAAATAAGAAAGTGTTGCAATTATTATGAAACGGATGAAAAAGGAAATTGTTATTATGTAACGGAAGAATAACAAGTATACAAGTTGCAACAGAATTTGTTAGAAACTAAAACTAACAGAATTAGTTAATATTCTGTTATTATTGGTGTCAAGCCAAAGTCAATACTACCCATAGGGATGTCAAACGGATCTTGTCGTGTCTGGTTCGTGTTCGTGTCGATATTAAATGGGTTAAAAAAACCCTTGACACAAACCTAACCCATTTATTTAACCGGTTGAAAACTCTTGACCCAAACCTAACCCTAAACGGGTTATCCGGGTATCCTTTTACCCACATAGTATGTTACAAACTAAATAATATTCAATTTAAAAATTAAATAGACATACATAATTAGTTCATTAGAGATGCTACAAGAGTTTAAAGTTAGCAAAAGATACGACAAGAGTTTAAAGCTAGTAGTTTTAGCAACAAAACCATACATAAGAATTGTCCCAAATTAATCGCCAAATTTTAATTTACAAAAGTTGAAAATTTTAATTTGTCTGCCAAATTAACCACTAAACAATTATCAGAATGTATAAATGGTGCCGAGGCAATTTACAAACTTACAAGTTCTTAATAGAAAATCATTTTTTTTAATACTTAATTAATAGATTAAGCGTGTTGGGTTCGGATTAGCGGTCTGTCATTCAACCCATTTATATTATCATGTTAAATGTGTTGATTTTGGGTCAAAAATTTCAATCCAAACCTAACCCGTTTAATTTTGTGTCAGTTCGTGTTGACCCACTTATGTAAATGGGGCGAGAATTCTTGACCCAAACTCGCTTATTTTGGGTTGTGTTCATGTTGATTGTTTCAGGTTATCGGTTGTGTCAACTTTTGACAGCCCTAACTACCCTCCTTAAAAAAGACTTGCCCTCAAGTCTAAAAAACCTTACTCGTCTATTTAAATCACATGTTTTGAGAACATGTGGTGATAGATTTCAATCAAAAACCAATGTAACATTGGAATACAATTTGGAAATTCCTAAATTCCTTGTGAAATAATGAAGGAAGATATTTTGTGTATGGAGATAAATATATTATAAAATATAGAAGTTGCAAAATTCATGAGGATGAGAATGTCTCATAAATTATCTTAAACTAATTCAATAGCCTAAAGACACAAAAGACTCATTTGAAATGAACATGATGGTGAATGTTTTGATTGTGTGTTAGGAAGTTACAATTGCAAAAATCATCGATCATGTTTCCATATGTTTATCAATCTTATTTAATCTTGGTTTAGTATTAAATAAAATGTCCAACAATAATTGTGAATTAGATGGGAATACTAAACACGAGCCATTGGTAATTGAAACCCCATTAGTGAACTGAATTCATAAATTATTTATAAGTTTCTAGTTTGAAATCAATAAATTGGACATAAATGGTTTCAATAAATGAACTAGCATGTAAGATTGATTAATAGCGCAGTTTCATAGGCTATAAGGACATAGAGATATTTAGTTAACCACATCGATATGTAGAAATGATACATGATCGAATTTTGACCTACCTTGAAGTTCAGGTAAAGAACTTCCGAATATATTAGTGGATTTATTAGACATGAGTGGAACACTATTCTTGCTTGTCGATTAGTTTAACTTGTATTCCAACGTTATGCCGTTAAAGGGGACTATATAGGGTACTTTTTGGTTTTTACAAAATTTGAGTGGGAGTTTTAAATGCTCAAAGATTGGACCAAGTCGTCCTTTAAAAGGATAAAATGTCATGGCCTCTTGAAGGGTGAGGATTGAGAAAATGCATGGATGTGCTCAAATGGATTACATAGTAATCATATGTTTTACAATTATTCAAACTCAGGTTTCAAGAAATGATTTGTAGATTAATATGATCTCAACATGTGATGCAATCATTTTATCAAGTCAGACACTAATGGATTTAAGGAATTTGAAAATTGTACACTTATCTCATACAAGTGGGAGATTGAAGGAATTATGTCTTCGTCAAGTGCAATTGCTAAATATATTATCAGATCAATATTATGTGGATACTTAGTTCATTCTTTTGGGTCGCCATTATCCGTTGCTAGACGTAATCAATGATATTTGGGCTAGTCAAATAGTCTAAATCCCAATATAATGGATTCTACAAAGTCACACTTATTGGTGATGTATTGGACAAAAGAGAAAGGCCCATTAGTAGGCCCTTCTATAGGTGGTTTGCCATATGAGGCCTAGAGAAGAGGTTTGGGCTTGATTTGGGACTTTACTTATATATATATGATATATAATTAGAGTTGCCTAGGTTAATCAGTTAGTTCATAAACATACCAAGCAACCAATAAAACCCTAACCTTAATCTCTCCCTCTTCTCTCTTGAAAGGAATGGTGTCCTTCCAACAAGTGTATTATTCCGATAGAGGGTTCGGAATTATTAGAAAGCTAATTCTTCAGTGAGGTCAAGTGATCGGAATGCCTAGGTGGAGGTCGCTTCCGATCAGTAATATTAATGCATAATTAGTATTACGGCTTAATCTTGATTGAACCCTTTGGGTCGCACCCCTATCGAATAACCGATCCGAAACGACGAATCAATCCGAAGGATTAGATAAGTCATTAGAGTACTAAGAACAAAGACGTCGGATATCGAGCTTAAAGCATCGAGACCGAGCGTCGCAAGTAGAGTCGAATTTAGAATTCGACGAGACCTAGGATCAAGCAAGCGACAAGTACGAACCAAGCCGTAGCCTCTCATTGGCCAAGCCATGTGAGTGCTAGGCTAGGCGAGGGAACCAACTACATGCATGCTAGCGTGTGGGCATCGCACCCAGCCACACGCATAGCCGCATCTAGGCTGCGCTTAGCATGCAAGCATCGCAAGCATGGTGCATGCCTTGCGTATACATGCTATGTGTGTTTGCTAGCATGCTAGGGCCTAACGCCTAGCTCTTCGCAGCCTCGCACCAAGCAGCGTACTCGCACAGCACATGCATCACAGCAGCGTGCTGTGTGTGCGTGTGCGTGCTAACGTTGCAGCACCAAGCAGTAGCATTGCATGCATGCGTGCTGGCTGGCTACGCATATGCTGCGTGCTGGCTGACTGCGCATGTGATGCGTGCTGGCTAGTTGGGCTGCCAGCCTTGGTGCTAGGTGCCAGCTGGCAGCCTTTGTAGCCAAGGCAGGCAGCTTGCCAGCCATGCGGCATGGTCAGCCGGTTAAGGGAGGGGACCAAGGGGCTGGTGTTTGGCTTGGGGAGCAAAATAATTTTGTCCCCCCCTTTGATGGTCCTCACCAACTCTCATCCTCCATGTGACACTTGGAGCTTGTTGATTGCCTTGCATTTTTATTTTGTTTTTGATTAAAATAAAATAGAGGAAAATGAAAATCTCCCATAATGATGAGAGAAGGGAGATCAAGTCTCCATTCCTTATAAATATCGAAGTTTTGGTTTAGGAAAAATTACTTGAGTTGAACTCAATAAGGCATCTCATTATTAGTGAGAAAACCTTTAAGTTCGTAATACTCTAGTTTTATTTGGTCAAGTCCCGACTAACCTTTGGGATTAAGACCGTTCGGGTCGGGTCGAGGGTGCAAGCCTCAGGAGGTCGTCGCACTTG